TTCAAAAATTTTTCCTTGATAATTTTAAGTTATACACTCCCTGGACTGCAAATTGCAACTTGTCAACATATCTTCGATTCAACCATGAACAAGATTGAACAACAAAAGGACTAAAGTGAAGGATATTAACAATTCATGCAACAAACTAGTATTCCTATTATGGTTTTTTGCCAATATAGTTATCCTTATTGTAAGATCAGATGAGTCCATGAGTTACTACATTGTAGGTAATCCCCACTCTGCAAAGAAGAAGTTTTCTTAATTGAAAAACTCCTAAGTTTCATACATTGGGGTATTTCTTAACTAATACAATCTAATGATGCAAAGTAGATGCACGTGCAACATTGGAGCATGTTCTTCTGCTATGACCAGGAGTATGACAATATGAACATTTTTTAATCCTACTTTGATTTTCTGTAATATCCATTTCAGTTCTTATACGACTTGATTTTGGTTGGCCCTTTGAAGTTCTTTTCATTTCTAGATCTGCACACAAAGTAGGTCCTATGTATGTTGGCCAATATTCTTCATTTCGCAACAACCCAAATTGTGTTTCGTATACCTTTGAAACTTGTTGTAAGGTATACACTAGATGAATATAGTTGTTGAAGTCATGGTGTGCATACTTGCATGCAACAAGAACATGTGAACAAGGCATGTGAAATTTCTGGAATTTCCCACAATCACACCACAACTCATCAAGGCGAACTGCAAACTTCCCTGCTGGTTGAACTTCACGCGGGTTTTGTGTTTCTTCTACTACAAATTTTGTGGTCGATCTGTCAAAAGTTATGACCCTATGCGTGTTTGTCTGTGTTTGTGCTTCCTCTAAATTTGTGACCAAAATTTCAGAGTATACATGACCAACATTGATCATAGCATTTATTTGTCTCCCTCTTTCAATAAAAAATTTGTTGCAGCGGGTGTACGTTGCGTTGACCATGGAGAAAATAGGTAGATTTCTTGTTTTTTTCAAAACAGACTTGATAGACTCTGCTATGTTGGTCGTCATGTGGCCCCAATGTCGTCCATTGCCCCATGCAAGTGCCCATTTTTCTCTAGGTATCTCATCCAACCAATTAGCTGCATTTATATCACATTGCCTCAAGATGTTGTAATAATAGTAGAATCGTGGTTCAGTCATCTCATATGCTACAACAATATTAAAAAAACATAATTAATATAAATATTTATTAGCAATAGTTAAATAATGAATAAATTGTAACAAATTTGAAGCAAATAAATTATCCATATTTACAACATTTTTCCTTAGTGCGGTGTTTTTGAAACGTCTCAAAATTATGTGCAATGTGTCTAATGCAGTAGACATGCACTGAATTATTTTTTGTCCATCCGCTTCCATTTCTCATGTATGCACTTCTAATGGATTCATGTCGGTCTGATATGAGGCATAATCCTTGCTAGGGTGTGACATATTTTTGGAGGTTTTTTAAGAAAAAAAACCAGGCATCACTTATTTCACCTTCAACCACCGCAAACGCAATGGGGAGGATATTGTTGCAGCCATCTTGTGCTACTGCAACCAACAAGGTACCTCTATATTTTCCGTACAAAAAAGTTCTGTCCACTTGAACAATGGGCTTGCAGTGAACAAATTCATCTATGCATGGCCTAAACGTCCAAAACACACGCTTAAAAAAATTTGAATTTTGTTGAAGGACTCACCTTGGTAAGCTGGTTGTGACTGATGTTTGTAAATGAATCCGGGAATAAATTGTTGCATGGCTTGTAACAAACAAGGCAACTTCTTATACGAATCTTCCCAATTGCTGTAGATGGTCTCCACTGCCTTTTGTTTGGCCAACCAGGCCTTCCTATACGTGATAGTGTAACCCATTGTTAATTGGATGTGGGCTATGATTGTGGAGATTGGTGTTGACGAATCAACATCAATTATTTGACCAATTATTTGTGAAATCATTTTATATCCCAACTTGTTGTGATCTTGGCTGATTAATGGCAAAACGCATGTATGGTGCCCTTCAAACTTCATAATCTCCCAATATTGCTCTCTTGTGCGCAATATTGCTCGACATCTCCAATTACATTGATTATCAACACATTCAATAACATATCTACTTTGGTTTGAAATTTTCACCTTGTATGTGCAGTGATTGACAATGTGAAAGCGATTGATGACATCTTGAACTTGTTTTTTTGTTATGAAACGTTGTCCAAGAAATAGAGTTCCTGCCGGAGAAACAAAAGACTCTCTGTCCAACGCATGACCATACTCTAGGTCTTGTTGTTGAATGTGACTTTCGAAGTTAAGAAAATGTTGTGGTGGGTTGTATGGTTCCATGAAGTTTGGTGCACATGTAGGGATATGTGGTTGTTTGTCCTCTGAATCATCTTATTGTTGGCTGAGAATTTCATCTTCATCTTCGTCCTCACTAAAAGGATCAACGACTTCAATTGGGAGGCCAACAGTTTCGTTCTCTTGTGTGGGTAGTTCTTCGTTGATGTTGGTGGAAGGCCCACTTAGAAGTTGGGTAAAAGAGATGTAGTCATTATCTGTGGGTATTTCTGGGTCAGTGTTTGGGAAAGCTTGGTAGGGTGAAGGTGAGATTTCAGATGAGTGTGTGTTGGGGTATGAAGAAGAAGAATTTTTAAATGTAACAAAAATTTCGATACCACATAGACTTGAGTTTGAATCATGAACATCGAACATGGCCTCCACGTCGTCATCATCTTTCAACTCAACAGCAATGAAGTTGTTGATCCCAACTCCGAGTCTAGTTGGGCAGCGAAAATGGATGGTTGCTAAATTTTCGTGGGGTTCTTTCTCCAATTTCTTGTGGATCAACTTCTTCAACCTTTGTAGAGAAATTCCTCTCTTTAAAGGAATAAGTTTTGCAGTTCCAGTATTGAAGGTAACTTCCTCCATGGGACATGGGTTCATGAAACCATCATAATGGACAATAGTAGACACTACACCCATTTTAGGAGTGTGGAACAAAAATAAGACTAAAGGTAAGAAGAAGAAATAATGCAAAGAGCTTCAGAGATTTAGGAGTATGCAATGTGAGAACTTCAAAGAATGAAAGTGGTCTATTTATAATGAAGTCCAATGGTTTGAATCCAATGCTCCCTCACATGGTTTCTGACGCACACAAAACCCAAGCAAATTGGGTGGGTCAACATCTCTTTAAATGTGCTTGGATTCTTCTGCTTTTGTCTAACCCAATGCAGGGAATCCAAGATTGGAATCCTAACTTGGGTGGGTGACTCAGCATCGGATTCCTTACTTGTGTGGATCAGAAAGGCATGGGAATCCTGACTTGGGTGGGTGACTTAGCATTGTAAATAGTTTCAGGTTTCCTCGCTCAAGCGATGAGTTTCTCGCTTGAGCAAGAATTGACCACAGGCTAAACGTCCAATGCAGTTAGCCACATAATGCAACTTGGGTCACCATATATTTCAATCACTTCTCGCTCAAGCTAAAGTATCCGTCGCTTGAGCCAGAATTGACCTGAGATTACCCATTTGCTACAGGTTTCCTTGCTCAAGCGAAGGATTTCTTCGCTTGAGCGAGAGAGAAATAATCGATCATAATTTTGTATATTCGATTATTTTAAAATTATGATTGATTAGCTCAAATTATAATCGTTTATAAATTTCTTCGCTCAAGCAATGGATGTCTCGCTTGAACGAGAATTGACCACGGTCCAACACAGTTACCCAATCAATTCTTGCTTGAGCGAAGTAACTCATCGCTTGAGCGAGAATTGACCACAGGCTAAACGTCCAACGTAGTTAGCCATATAATGCAACTTGGGTCACCACATATTTCAATCACTTTTTGCTCAAGCGAAAGTACCCATCGCTTGAGCGAGAATTGACCCGAGATTACCCATTTGTTACATGTCTCCTCGCTCAAGTGAATGGTTTCTTCGCTTGAGCGAGAGTTGATCTTGCGCGAAATAATCGGTCATAATCTAAAATAATCGATTATTTTAATACGTAAACAGTAAAGGGTGCTAGTTGTGTAAATAATGTTCCAGATGTGATATTTTGGGAAATATTTTTAAAAATAGTATTATTTATGAAAAAAAGTCTAATAATGTTCTTATTATGTAATCATACTAAACTTTTTTTATTTCCACCATCGGTTAAGTTAAATCAGACCATGGTTTTTCAAAAAGTACATCATTTACTTTATGCTTTTGGAACAAACATGCCATCAACATTTGCAACTCAAATGCCTCTATCAATTGATTTAATGAAAAATTTCATTCTCACCTTCCAAAACTAGTAGTTTACCCCACAAAACATTCAAAGTATGTTAACAAAAGCCTACTTAGCAAAAGGAAGTTTGTTTTCAACCATTTAAAAAAATCTAGATAAGATACTTGAGTAGTTTACAAGAACCATCTCATGATGCCAATTGTTAGAAAAGTGGTTGAATTTAAGAGGGGGTAAATTGAACTTAAATTTTTTTCTAACAACTTAGCGATGTGGTGTCACTAGTTTTAAAGATTTTTTTTTTTTTTGTATGGTTGAAAAAACACTTGTTGGGTACATAAGTTGATCTATTATTTAAAAACTATGATAATTTTAGTAGAATTCTTAGTTAGTGTGATTAAAGGCTAGATATACCTCTTGGTTAAGAGTGAACCAATATAAATCTTGGTGTCTTTCTTTTTTTTTCCTTATTTTCATATTTTATTGCAATTGTCTATATATATTCTTTATACTTTGTTGTTGATGTTAAGTAATTGATTACCAAAATTTCAATCAATTGACCGATAAAGTTTTCTTTCTTCATTAAACTGGTAAAGTTTCAATTTTTTTTTTCAAAGTTCAATTAAGCTCTTATTAAACTCAGTCTCTTTTTTCTAATAGTGAGAATCTTATTTATAAAGGTTCCTTACCCATAGCACAGACTTTCGTTGGCTTTTAATTATGCCATGTGTATGAATGTGATTAAAAAAGTGATTAAATATCCATTCTTGATAATGAGAATAGACCTAAGGGTGATGGAAGAAAAGTTAAGGTAAGTCTCACAAATTTTACTTATGATTACTTCATTCAAGTGGATGACATGATCAATCCAAGAAAGCTATACAATTATGAGTTTCTTCGAAGACAATTGGGTATTATTAATTTTTACTCATGATTACCTCTTTTGAGATGACATGAATAAATCAAATGATAATCAAATAATCATAAGTTTCTTGGATAAGCTTTGATAATCATCATAGTAAATTTTTTCTTACATCAAGACAAGTGCATAACTATAGGTAGAGGGAATAAAAAATCTTTTTAGTCATCATGACACGTCTTTTTCCTCCTTCCTAGGCATAGCAATGAGGCGGGGCAGGGCAGGGGCAAGTTTTGCCTCCCCGATCTCACCCCGACTTTTTAATCATCCCCGTCCCGCCCCGATCCCCGTCCTCGATTCCTGCGGGGTTAGAAATTAAGTCCTCATCTCCGTTTCCACTGGGTTTCGGATTCCCGTCCCCGAACTATATTATTTTTAAAAAGATAATTATATTTATAATAAATTAATTTTACTATCTATTTTTTATATATAAATAAATATTTATAATTTTATAATTTATAATAATTATTAATTAAATATACATATTTATTTATTATATTTATATTAAAATATGTATGTAAAGGAAATATTTAATCATTTTTTATTTATAACATTATTATTATTATTATTATTATTATTATTATTATTATAATAATATTGTATTCAAATATTTGAATACTTATAACATTATCATTATTATTATAATACTGTATTCAAACATTTGATTATATATATAAGTTAATTCATTTTTAAGTTGTCATTTAAAAATATGAAATATATAGTTTATAATGAAATATTTAATAAGTTAATTATTATTCAATTAGTTCAAAGTAATAAAAGTTTAAATTATCAATTCCTTTAATCCTTTAAAATACAATTATTTTATTAAGATAAAATTTGATATATGATAAATAAGAATAATAAGATAAACAAATGACATAATAAAACATAATAAATATAAATTATAAATAAAATAATATTAGTTACTATTAAGATTTATGTAAAATATTTAGAAAAAGATAAAGAATAAAAGATTAACATTGTTCATCAAATTGATTGAAAAGATTGAAAAAAAAATTGATGAGAGAGATTAAGGAAATATGAAAAACTGCAAGGTATAAGAGAGAATAATGTAATAAATTAATTGATATAAAAGATTAAAAAAGACAAAAAAATTAAAAAATAGGTAGAAGAAAAATAAAAATTAGTAAAATATAAAAAAATTACCTAATAGAAAAAGAAAAGAAAATACTTTTAAAATATTAATATTTTAAAATTTAAATTTAAATATAAAGTCGGGATGGGGATGGAGCCGGCTCAGGGTGGGGATCGCATTACCCATCCTCGTCCCCGCCTCCGACTTTTTAAAGCGGGAAAACCCGAACCCACTCCTGCCCCGGTCAACTCGGGTTTTTCCCGTCAAACTCGAAGAGGAGCGAATCTGGTCCCCACGAGAACAGGTTTAATTGTCATCCCTACTTCCTAGTTGTCCCTAAATTGGAAAAGAAATATTTTAAGACAGGACACGATTTCACAATTTTATTTGGTTAATAGCCATGTTAGGTGTAATTGAAGAAATGATAATATTTTTTCATTAAAAAAACACAAAACATGAGAGATTGGAATAGAAAATGATAAAAATGCATTAATTACCTTAAAATATTATTTTATGTCTACGGTTTGAGTTTTCAACTTTTCATAATAATATCAAATATTTTACTTATTCCACATATTCTAGGTCCAATTAATTAATAAATATTAATTAAATTTCTATAATTTAAAAAATATTTGCATACATGTGCTAAAGTATTTTATAACTAATTTTAGGATATTACCTATAATATAATATAATATCAAAAATAAAAATTATTAAATAATATTTTCTAATTTTAAATCATCACATAAACCTATGAAAGATGTTTTAATTATAATAAAAATATTTATATAATCTGAAAATAAATATCTAAAAATTGAGTATTATATACAAATTTTAAAATTAAAAAAAGTTAATTATAATAAAGAATCACTCTACAATGAAAATGTTTTTAAATTTTAATATGTTTAAATTATTTATGAAATATTAAACTGATATTTCGACTCATTTTAACTTTAAAATAAGTAAAAAAATAATTATCCATCTCTCTCTCTCTCTCTCTCTCTCTCTCTCTATATATATATATATATATATATATAATAAAATGGATTAAAAGTTTAAAAAAACTAAAGCACTACGATTCCTGAGTAATAGCATCACAGAGGCTATCCTTTGCCGTCGAACGGCTTATCCAGGAAAAACACGACAAACATGACAACAACTCCGAACATTTGGTCTGTGAGTTGCGCTTCGTGAATGCTTTTCTTTGCCGTCAAATTCTTTGTTAGTATGTCGGAATTCAGTTAATTTCGTAATTAGTTTTGTGTGTTGGGTTTATTTATCATATCACTGCAAGGGTTAGTTAAATCTTCAATCTGTTCATGTTAGTTTTCGAACGACAGATGCATCTCAATGTTACCTGTGTTTCATATAGCAAATGCGTCAAGAAGGGTGTTGCTTTAGTCTATAAACGTTTTAATTTTACTAGGCTGCGTAGCTACGGTTCTATATCTTTTTTATGCTCTAAAACATTTGCATCAGTGTCTTCGGCCTTTCTGTAACTTATATTGTCCATGCTCATGTATAGATTCACCATGGACTTTTCCTCCCTTATTTAAACGTATGACAATTTAGTTTAGCTACTATCTAAATTAAACTTCTGAAGTTTAATGGGTGTGCATGGTTAGTGTAAAAGCCCTTTATACATGTACTTGTTTCTTTCAACTCCACCAGTTAATTCTTAAACCTTGTGTAGAAAAAGAGCAAAAGACATACTCACACAGAGGATTGATTCCACAATAAACTTGCTACTGGAAGAAATGTTGCTGAGGACAACTTCATAAGTATAATGGGCTTGGGGGCTGTTACATGGACAAATTATCTAAGAAAGCGTCTTCAACTAACAATAAGGTCACTTCATACCTTGACAGGCAATCAATTAGATCAAATTTTAATGTCTCCACATCTTGCATCTTTGGACGTTCCTGACATCTGGAGTCCTAATTCTTCAAGTGGGATTATTCCAGCAATTCACAAAAGCTGTAAGTAACTGAGTATCTTACTCCCTTGGAATGACTGTGATATTTACATTTTTTTGGTTCTTACATTTTATCATTTAGATGTTATATTGCTGTTCAGCTTTAGCTTCTGTCGTAATTGAGCAAAAGCTGGGTATTTACTTACTGAACAGTGTGTTATAACCATTTCTTTAATGAATGCCGATAACTAGAAGTGATCCTATTAAGACATTTGAAGGAAAATAAAGCAATATAATCCACATGGTGGCTAGAAGAATGGATTTGTAAGAGTCACATGCTTAAGAAGAATACAACATTACAATAAACTACTGGATTAATTTATGAGAAATGCTAGGAACAAACTCTTTTGAAGACACTCTTCTGTTGATTGAAATTTATTGAACCCCACATCTTATTCGATGAACCTCTCGTGATTTGGTAATTTTTAATAAATTTTAATTGAGATTAGTTCCGTAGCCCTACACAATGCCTTTCAAACTCTTTGGCTTCTATAACTATTGTGGAAAAATTGAACGCTTTCACATATCTAAAATTAATACAATGTGGAAATATAAATAGAAATAGGAGACTAATTTTGTACACTTATCTAGGCCTGAATACCAGGGAATAATGTTTCCTATAAATGCTATATCTAAAACCAGAATGAAGGATATAAAAGTAGATTCTAATTACATTAAATCCTAATGTTAATTGTACAAATCAAATCCTGTTATTCTGTTTTCCTTCCTTAATTATCAAACTCCCCTTCAATCTAGGGTGGTAGATTTCTATCATTCCTATATTGGAGCTGATGCTTTCATAAGTAATTCTTGGGAGAGTTTTATTTAGAATTCCTTCTGTTTGGTTGCTTGATGTTACATGCTCAAGACTTATCATAGGTTCTCTGCAATGCTGATAGCAACTTTGTTGTTACACAATAGCTTTAGTGTCGGTCAATCAACTCCCTTTTTATTCTTCTTTCTACTAGTTCTGCCAGTACAGTTTCTAGTGGTCCACCATTAGGGGGCAGGTTCAGATAAAATCCCAATGTTTGGAATTTTACCATTTCATTTAGAATCAATGCATGCTTCCCCTGAATGCCACTGTTGGTGATAAGACGGATTCTTGAAGAAAGTCACATTCATAGTATGGTAAAAATAATTGTTGAGAGACTTGTCTCCTTTTTGGTAAAGTGAGTAACCAACAAATGCACATGGGATGGATTTTGGATCAGTTTTTGCTGTGGTGAGAGTTTAGGTTGTAAACAAAGGCTGAACATCCAAATATTTTCAATTTTCAAGAGAATTGAGCTGAAAATTCTATTGGTTGGGAAAAATATTTGGAATGTAGAATGAGGGTTGTTAAAATTAAGAACAGATGATGACATTCTGTTTATACTAGGTAGGGTGCAATAAGGACATCTTCCCATAACTATTTTGGTAGACTTGTAGCCAAACTGAGTGATGAGTGATCAAGTTACCTCTGGAGGGTGCCTATTTTTTCTTTGTGACTCTATCTTTTCTTTTTGTGACCCCATTTTGTTGAGGGTATTTACAATGAGCTTTGATGAATTGAGTGATCAAGCTCATGGTCATTGTTAGTTCTAAGTACCTTAATATTGGTTTGAAATTGCGTTTGCACCATGTTGTTGACTTTTTCAAATTTTTTGCCTAGTTTTGATTTCTCTTTCATAACAAAAACCTATGTAACTCTTGTATGGTCATCAATTAAGTAACAAATCATTTGGTACCAGCAATGTTGTTGACCCTGTTCCCATGCATCACTGAAATAAGGAGAATGGTTGAGAAGGTTTATATGGTGTTGGGGTAGATAATTGCTGCATGTATGCTTGGATAATTGGCAAACTTCAGATTGATAATTCCTTAGAATTTTTTTTATTTTTTATTTTCAATAACAAGGGGACCATTTTCTCCAAGTACCTAAAATTTGGGTGGCTTGGACCATAGTGCCCCAACATTACAGAATCTTCAATACTTGAAGGTACTATTGCACAAGAGTTGGCTTTTGATTCACTTTAAGAGTCTTCAACATGGAGCTGGTAGAATCCTACTCATTCTTTAGCAATGCTAATAATTATCTTCCTCACGTCCAAAATTTGAAACTCACGTGTTAGAAAGAAATTAGTGGCACATCTCAAATCTTTTGTAAATTTACTAATAGATAACAAATTGCAATCAAGTTTTGGTACATAGTACTGAATCCAAAGTGATATTCTTTGAACTAATGATCGAACCTTGACCAAGAACCTTTTAGAGAGTGCCATATGCAATTTATGTTTGTAGTCATGAGATTTGAGGCTCCATATCCATTTGCTATGTTTCAAATCTTGCAAGTAATTATCATTTTGAGCTATTGTTGCTCTATACTACCCTTTTCTACAAGTAGCATACTTTGTTGGAGGATTTTTCATTGAGTTTCCATTTGTCCTTTGTTGAATGGAGATGGATTAGGATTTACCTTCTAAAATGATTTAGAATAGTCAATATAATTTAAAATTTTTCTTTATAATTTTTATTTTAAAATTAAATGGGCTCAAATATCTTAAGTATGGATAGACCAAAAATCTTAAGAGAAGATGATCATTCATGTTCTCATTCATATAATAAGAATTAAAAGCAAAATTAGTGGGAATTAATTAGATATTTAGTGAGAATTATTATTACAGTATACAGTTACAATAATTTAGCCAACAAATAGGTTATTTGAAATGCAATAAAAAACATGTTTGAATTTTGAATGAAATTTGAGTTTTCCCTTAGAGAGAGTTTTATGGTATTTTGAATTATATGAACCCATTTTTGATCCATCATTACCACCTATTATTACTTACCAACTCAGGACCCAAATGCCTAGTCCAAGTCCACATGAAAAATCTTGTTCATTATGTTCTTAACCATCGCCATTCAATACCATAACTTCTGATCATGAAGATTCTAGTTAACTCATTCTTAACTAAAAAGGTATTTGTTTTACTTGTAATCCTCATCCTATTTGTTTGTTGATATATGATGTTTTTCTATCTTTCCTTAAACTATGGTTAAGGGTTTGGGCTGAGGCCCATATCCTCTCTATTGTATCTCTTTTATCTATAAATACAATGTAATAGTGCCTTTTGACACTGTATTTGAAACTCTAAATAAGTTTCTCAAGTTGGTATCAGAGGGGGTATAATCCCGCAGTGATTTCCTGTCATTCCTATCATCTCCATCCACCGTGGGCCGCCGTCCTCCGTCAATCACCGTGTCAGTTTGGTCTGGTGAAGGTAGGGTTTGGTGCGCCTCGAAGAGCGCCATCCACCCTGCAAGTCGCTCCTCCGGCAGCTGCCCCACGTGCCGTCACACACGGTCGTTTTAGAGGGCCGTCTCAGGCGCATGTGTCCCACGCGCCACATCCAGTGATCGGATCAAGGCTGATCATCTTTGTTTGACTCATCGGCGCCCTTCGAGTCCTGTGGTGCCCTTATTTTTCTGTTTTGAGAATTTTGGAAGCTAGGTCACGTGGGCACCCTATTGGTTAGGTTTATCTTTCTTCTCTGTTTCAGATAAATGGTTTCATCTAGTGCTTTTTCTTTTTCTGCTATTATAGAAGGTCGTCCTCAATGTCCCTATTGCAAGAAGATGGGGTACACGCAAGAAAATTGCTATTCCTTACACGGTTTTCCTGCCAGGAATACCACTTCCCATGTTTCTAAGTTTGAAAAACCGGATTTGAAAATCTCGTATGAGGAGTATCAAGAGTTTTTGAAGTTCAAATCAGGAAAATTAAACAGTCAGGGTCAATTTTCTTTCATGCCTAGTGTTTCAACAACATGCATTTCTCAACTGTGGAAGGTCAAAAACCTATGGATTCTTGATTCAGGTGCCTCTGATCATATATTTGGTAACAGTTTCTCAGTTTCCTCCATGTCCTTAGATTTTGTTCCCTTGTGTCTAAAATACACATAGGGTAATAAATTTATAATTAAGAGTCATACAAGTAAATATGGTAAATACATATATTATAACTAATACTATGTCTTTAAAGTTGGACCAAGTGGTCAAGTGGATTGCCTTAAAGCTAGACTAGGGGCTAAGTGATACACTCAAATATATGGTCTTGATTATGGGATGCCTTCTCTCATATGGTCAAAATAACTACTATTCATCTTTTTGATCTGGCTATCATTCTTTGTTTGCCTCTTCACTAAATGATATAAAAAATGAATTTCTTCGGGGTGATCAAGAGGAAAAGATTTACATAAAGCAACCTCTTGGATTTGTTGCTCAGGGATAGTTTGGTCTAGTATGTAAATTGTATTGATCTATCTATGGTCTCAAGTAATCTCCATTTTTTTTGGCTTGACAAATTTAGTCACATTATTCAACCTTTGGGCTAAAATACTATGAGGCAGATCATTTAATTTTTTATTGCCATACCTCTCCTGGAAAATGTGTTTACTTAATTGTGTACGTTGATGACATAGTTATTACAAAGACTGATGCTACTAGAATCTCTCGGTCAAAGAAACACTTGTGTAATCACTTTCAAACCAAAGATCTTGGATTGGCTCAATCAAATAAAAGTGTTGTAGTTTCTTAAAGGAAATATGCTTTAGATATCTTGGAAGAGACAAGTATGATTGATTGTAGGTCAGTCGATAGTCCTATGGATCCAAATCAAAAATTAATGACAAATCAGGATGAACCTCTCTCTGACCCAGCGAGATATAAAAGACTTGTCAGGAAACTTCTTTGTCTCACTATTACTAGACTTGACCTATCTTTTTGCAAATGGCATTGTTAGTCAGTTTATGCAGAATCCTTGTATTGATCATTGGAATATTGTCATTCGCATCCTAAGAAAAGCTCCAGTACAAGGTCTCTTTTACGAGGATAAAAAGGATACCCAAATTTATGGATATTGTGATACTAATTAGGCAAGATCTCTTATGGATAGATGCTCCATTACAATGTATTGTATTTTCATTGGAGGCAACATTATTTATTAGAAAAGCAAGAAATAGAATCTAGTT